TTTGAAAAGGATGTGCTGTGGTTCGGTCCCTGCTCAAAGCACCCCTGCTTCAAGCTGAGTGATCACTAGAAGAGGATACCAATCTCAGGCCCATGCTGTAACTTTCCTCCAAGCTCCAAGTGAAAACCTGGCACCATCTCACCATACCTGAGAACACCTTTCTGTTCACCTTTTCCTCATTTTGCGTTGTCTGAATGCACGGCAGCACTTTTAGCTAGCATACTTGAATAATGTTTATCAAACCATCTAAACTAGTGTCCAAATAATCTTTATGTCTTTAATTAGGACTGGGCACACACTATGTGACCTATAGTATGATTGGTCCAAGCAGCTTTTTATAATGATATTTCTTGAGCAATTGCTGTCTTTTGAGACTGATAACTAAAAAAAAATACTGGGAAGTCTTAGAGAAAGCAGGCTTTTCTGCACACATTTTTCTTGTTAAGCTATTCATTAAAACACCTGGGGCAAGCAGGTGGAAAGTATAAGCACAGGCAAGGGCAATTTAACCTATTGTTTTATTCAGGGTAAATACAAGAGGGTAGTATTTTTTAGGCATTTACTTAGCTGTAATTATCCTTGTATTGAGAAAGCATGTGTAGAAAATGTATTTTTTCAATCAAATGATGAAGAAAAATAATCAAAAGTGCTCTACATCCAGTGATAAAATTAATTCTCTTAAGCTTTAGCTTTATTTGTGTTAAAAGTGCTGTAAAATTCCATGAACTACACCTCATCCTGCTGTAGGTATTAGCTTTTGTATCATCACTGAAGCATAATAAAGTATTGGTTCAGTTATGTGTAATGCCAGGAATGATATTAAAACACAGCTAATGCTTTCATCGCATTTAAATAAATTGTATTGACCAATAGGCCATTTTTCACTAGGCAGTCCAACTACAGAAATATGTTGTGATTACTAAGTTATGAAATAAAGGATGATACAACATGACAGACCAGCATTTGGAACATACTTTTAAAAACATATGCAGTAAAAGTCAAAATATGCCTAGAGCAAAATTTTGCCACAATGGTTATTAATCAGAAAAGCGAGACCTGATATGTGATTTGGGTATATTCACCATGTGTCTCTCAATATGTCACAGCAGGCAGAACATTTTATAATCAGCTTGACTTTCATAAAGTAAAACTTTAATAGATAACACACGTGCCACTGTGTACATTACTAGAGAATGATAAATGCATTTAATTAAACTGATCAACATTTATGACACTGTTAACATCATGAAACATTCATGTAAATGGAAACGTATGCAGACGTGTTCCTTCCAGGAGGTCAAGTTATGTTTTCACATGCTATATATTATAGCTGAACACTAAATTCCTTTTCAAGCATTAAGTTTCATTTGGAACAAGTAGACCACTCTTTTTATATTGTTGACCTTAAATAGCTGATCATTAAAGTGTCAGCCATTTGTCTGAAAATACTAAAACAGATTTTGGACGGCTTCCAGAATCTCAAAGAATTATGTGTCGATGTAAAATAGATTACATATTTTTCTCAATGATGAGTCTAGCCTATTTCATTTTCTCTTCCTTCCATGTGCCCAAGATACACATTATGCTTCAGAAACCTAAAGGTCAGCTTTAGGTGGTGCCAATTACACAGATAACTCACAGTGCTGTACCTTCCCATTTGTTCTGTTATTTCTGCTGGCAATGTTAAAAATGAGTAACACTTACTGTTCTGTCCAGTATTGAGTTTCTGATTTACTCTGGCAGGATACCATTAGCAGTTATTCAGACTTTGGCTGGATACTAAATTTTGTTATCTTTTAAGGTAATACCGACTAATACCTAACAATTTTATTGTAGCACTGCATGCAACTCAATTTCCTCTGATGTGAATGGACGTCAACAATGTGCAAGAAGCCTCAACAAAACATCATGCTCTTGTTCTGAAGTAAGAATATTTAAACAGGAAAAAAACAGTTCAGAAATAACAGCTGCCAGTGTTATTTAAGCAACCAAGAGAACTGACACTAACAAAGACATCTATAAAGATTGTTTTGTTGATTTTGAAGGGGGTTGAGGGTTCAAGCTCTTTGAAGAAGCATATTCAACTGAAAACAGTCCATAATCAGAAAAAAATTTGATCATGTAATCAGTGATGCAAAAAACGTCCTACCAGACACAGTACTGTTGTGCCATATGCACTGCAAGTGCAAATTGTTACAATACCCTAAACCAGTCGGTTTAACTTTTGGCATCCTCCTAGGATTATATGCACTGCAAGTGCAAATTGTTCCAATATCCTAAAATGGTCTGTTTAACTTTTGGCATCCTCCTAGGGTTAGGCTGTAACTATAAGAACAGACTGTAAACACCTACTTACATATTTAAATATATCAGATTTCAAAAGGCCCAACTGCATTTTAAGTATTGACACACTATAAGTAAGATGCAGGATCAAAAACCAGCCAAGCAAATGTTTTAGGCACCGAAATACACAGTATAAGAAGAACACTTAGAAACTTTTCTCAATTCTAACCCTCTAACAGCCAAAACAATTTATCTGAGGGCTTCTTAAAATTCTGAAGAAAAAAATGCTTCTCTCTCACCTGAAATTGCTTTTACTCATCAGTCACACCTACATATCCTGTCTTTACAGAAATTAGGTATCTGTATGGAATACTCCTGACTTCCAGATCACATAAAAGACAATTTTTGAAGGGTAACTAAACCACTTGCTATAAACAATGACAAATCATAGCATACTTAGGTGCAGCCCTGACTGCATTACATCAAACTACTTACTTTTACAGTAAACAAACATCCCATCTTCAGAAATGGGTTTAATGAAAGAACATTAGAAACATCCCACAAATCTTTTTAGCCCTCCTGAAAAGCATCTGATGGTCTATTTCCATATGCATTATTTTTGTAACACACATTAAATGGCGGACATATGCTCTAATCTATATGTGTGCATAGATGTTTCCATCCTCCCAAATATACAGATTGCTGATCTACCTGTTGATACCAATAATAATACTCCACCAAAGCTATTAAAGTTTGTAAGAATCAAAACCTCTAGGCTACTACCTGTTTTTCAGCTCTTTGAATTCTAATAAACCTACAAAGGCAGGTTTACAGCTAACTAATCCTTTCAACTCCCAGCCTGTGTCCCAATAGCTAGACACCAACACAATTTTGACAACTAAACCAGAGTAATTACAAAGTGTAGTTAACAACAATCAAGAGTTGCTGAAGCTTCTTAACAAACGCACTTCTACCAGGATGTTTGACTCACTACATGGGTTAGCAGGAATGATTTGTGTGCAACAGTTTGGGCAAAGACACTTGTAAAAGAGTTAACTTCACAGTTTTGGGATTAGAGGACATGTGGGAACGAGGTGTAGAAAAGCCAGTTAAAGGCCCAAAAGCTTGCAATCATATTGATGAAAGCAAAGCAATTTCAAAAGAACTGCTTATTTATGCTGACACTTGCCAGAAAGACTGGACAAATAACGTGCAGTGAGGAAACAAGTTATTTCGTCAGCATTGCAGGTGTGTGCCTGTACTGCCTACACTTGTGGAATGCTTTTCAATGTATCATTTTTCCATGAACTACAACTCAGCTTGCACAAAGTGCACGAGACGCTAGTAACTCAGAAGGAAATACACAACCACCACAATCTTTTATGTTTTAAATAATAACTGCATTACACAAAGCCGCAGCAAAACATTAGTTCGCCAACACCAGCTTCTCGGCATTCTTCCAGCCAAATACAGATTCATTCTGTACTTGCTACATATTATTATGAAATTGGAAAGGTAAGAAGTGGCTTTCAGAAAAGTGACAAAAAACTATGCTATGTAAATCTTTCCAAGACCTTAATTGATTTTCACCAGTTTTGCACTGCTTGAAGCAACGTAGCAAGACAGCAGGGATATTGAATCCGTAGGGAGAGAAATCACTCTTGTTCCTTAACAGTGCAGTTCCCACGGTATCTGGGGACTCAAAGGGAGTCAAAATAAAACTGCAGGAAGTGGAGGGCAAGAAAAAAAAAAAAATAACTGAAATGTGCATTAAAAAACATGGTTTGATGGAAGAGACAATACTCTGGTATATTCCCTCTGATTCTGGGAAGATGCATCCAAGCAGCACATCCAGCGAACCCTGTTAGAAATGAACCAGGGGTTCCTGAAGGAGACAAAGCTATAATATAAGCGCCCCTCCCCCTCCAAATTGCACCATTAGATATGTCAGCTTCCCAGGTCCTGACTTCCCAGACCCCAACAACGTCTGGAAGAAGGCCTTTATCTCTTGCTGCAACAAAAGGCAAGCTTGCATAGGTTTTTAATTCAGCAAAACAAGATTTTGCCTGAATCCTTATGGGAGAACAATAAAACTGTGTTCTTCCTAGCCCAACCTCTTTGGCTAGGAAGAAAAAAAGCAATGCAAATGTTTTCATTGCATGAAGATTCCTGCCTCAAGACTACTTTAAGAAGTGGCTTAATTTCTGACTTGCTATCAAATCAGGATAATTTTTCACTATGAAAATATGAAATAACTATAAGCACCAGTGACACCTGTACCCTCCTCACCTGCAGCTGGAGAACATACTTCCCTCAACAATTCTGTAAACAATTGTGCACATCTGTACTGATCTTCCCTATACTTAAATCTTTTAAACTATATTTTTAATTGCTACTTCAAAACCTTTTAAGTTACACAAAAGGAGAGGGGGTATGTGGAAGACCTTTCCTGGAAGGCGTCCCCAGTAGTCTACACCATAAAAAAAGATTATTTTAGTTACATTGATCAGATTAGAAACAGACATGAATTTCTCCAAAGATATTAATTTGACATGTAGAACTTTGTCTAGAAAACAAGGGAGACTTCATACATTTCATTATTTTGCTGATCTTTTAATCCATATTCATGCCAATAGTCCCACTACAGAAAACAGGATCAGGCTGTTTAGGTGGGTAAAAAAAAAAAAAAATAAATTAAAAAAAAAAGAGTAATATTAAAAAAATGGTTTACTTGCTTGTATTAGGATTACTCACAGAAGAAATGAGTCCCATGACTATAATCACAGCTCGTGTGCTTGAGAATTTTTATGATCCAGCCTTGGACAACTGGATGAGCTGGGGATTTCCATAATCTTGTCATAAGAATCTATGCAGAAGAGATTAGAAGGTGGTTCAGCTTTGTTCAGCAGAAGATACAGTCCACTAGCCCTGCTCCAGTATCACTCTAGAGGAAAAAAAAAATATAATCACAATACCATAAGACAGCTTTATCTCTTTCTCTTGTCAGATTGGCATTAAGATGGCTATCTTCATAATGCTGTAGAATAATTGTGGAATTAAAGATTAACTTTCTCTTCTACTTTACAGAATCTTACTTGTCTAATTCATCAGAGGATGGCACTAGAAGATACAACTCTATGTTTTAAATGTGCTATTAGCAATAAGAAAACCATTTCCAAACTCCTTAAATGTTCAAGCCGGTTCCCTCTGCTCAGCTTTCTTACTCAATTCCTAGAGGTTACTTAGACTCTTTGTTTAACAAAAGTTTCTCAAAACTGTTTTATCAAGTACTTTTGTTCCTCAAAATAGATTAAAAAAAGAAAATAAACAAACACACACACAAAAAACACCACTAAATAGACACTGGTTATTACCCCCAAATTAGGACATCTATTCAGGTAAGCTCCTTTTCTGTGTTTATAAACTTTTTTCCTTGTAACTGACAAAAGTGTAGGAATACCATGTTAGTTACTAACAGACACAGCTGCTTTTTCTTCCTGATGTTATTACTCTATGAGTTTTGCATTTTGACATTATAAACTAGTCCCTAAAAGCTTCCTCCTTCAGCCACTCTCAAACTAAGTGCTGAATGGATCAATAAATATCTAATAAGTATTAAATCCTAAGAACTCCTCTTCAAAATTCTTTGCAATAAGTTTAATTCTCAATTTCTTTTTCTCTGACGGAGAGTTATAAAAAATAGATCATGGGCAGTACAAAACAGAACTTGGTGCAAGTTTGCTACATGTGCAACAATTTACTCTTTGCATTCTTCAGTCTTTGAGCAGAGATGGACAAACCTGATTTTGCTCAGTCAATAGCAATCATTTCACCTATGTGCTCAAGGAAAAAGGGCATATGATATAACTTATTTTCTCTATATTCCAGCCTGTGATGCTTGTGGTCTCCTTAGGCTGCCTCCACATTAGTTCCTGCTGCCCTGGGTAAAGTCAAAGACAGTGCTTACCTCTAGGAAGGGAAATGAATTATCTTTCCTGATAAAAATACCAATCAGAAGGTGAAGAAGGCTCTAAAAATCACCAGAAGATTATCAATTGATCAAAATGGATCAACTTAGTCTAGTTCTGAAGGAGATTTTGTCTGTTGAGATCACTCAGTAGTTTTAGCCACTTGCTTTTAAAAGCAGAGAAGTGCAAGTACTACCTATTATGCAATATCTTAATATATGTTAGGGAACTCTTCTAAGAAATATTACTGAGAACTAGAGTTCTCCCTCATCCTGCATGAAGTGTTCAGCTTCCCAGCTATTTTACTAGACCAGGGTAAATCTCTTGGTCTTGCTAATATTATTAATACATCATACAAAGTAGAAAAGGTTTAAGTCAAAGAGAAAGCAAATCACATTACCATGGCACAAAGACAGAGGTAAAACAGGATACAAAAGCACAAAGGAAGTCACTTCTGGTAAAGACGAGTGTGTCTGAAAAATTTGGGAGATCTAGAAGAGTACTAAAATATAAATAAATAAATCTAGGTTTTGATCTGGTTGAGCATCTCCTGCTCCAGCAGATAGCTTAATCTTATGATGTGACACCATGAAGCTTTGACCTTACCATACCGCACATATTTCTGATCTGCCCAGGACAATCCCTTTAAAAATAACATCAACACCAACATGGGGGGGGGAATGCAAGCAGAACTTTGTTGGCTTCATACACTTTAGCTACTTTTGGTGACATCTCAAATTTGGATTCCCCAGAGTCAGGACAACTTGGTTTAAACTGCTAAGGTTTTAGAGTGCAATGTAAATAGCAGCTTTACTAATTTTGGGGTTTGTCTGTATGTCTCTATAATTTATGAAGTCCAACTTGTATGCTTCTGTCTAAAACTCAGTTTTCGTTTCACAGCCTATTTAGAAAAGCCTCACAGAACAAAAGTATGTTCTGTGCACTAGCCTGGAGGCAGTTAAAACAACCCCCAACCAACCAACAATTAAAACCTGAAGAGCTGGGAGAGTCCTGAAGGGCCCTTTAAGCTGATTTCGTAACAGCAACCCAAACTGTCGTTAACTTCTGCAGCCTAGTGCAAAAAAAGTGCATGTGACAACAGACTGGTAAACACAAAAAAGCATTATACAGGCCCTCCAAAACATGCATGTAAGTATTTTTTTTTCTAATGCAAGAATGTTTTCATAGTTTAGATTTACTTCTTAATTTTGAAGCTTTCAGAGAGATGATTTCCAAGCAAGACAAAGCTGGGCCAAATAAAAGTTGGTATCTCCACCAACAACTCCACAAGAAAAACACCTCACAAGGTATCGTAAGTCGGTGAAATACATGCATTTCATGTTGTTGAGAAAGGTTTTTTTTTAATACAGGTCTTCCTATATATATAGTCCTGTAAGTCCTCCCAAGACAGTCAGCACTCCCAGCAACTTTCATTTTACTTTAAATTAGCAGAGCTGGAAGTTCGGCAGCTTTAGATTTAACACTTCCTTCACACGAGGACCGGGACGCAGGGCAGCCCCGCTCTTCCCGCCCGGCACCACACCTGGCGGACTGAGGCGGATAATGGACAGAGGCGACCCTTCCCGAGGTCCGCCGCACTAACTCGCTGCGTCCCTCGCCCGCCTGCAACGCAGTACCCACCTAAGTCCGCTCCTCCCCTCCCCTTTGCCTCCTCCAGCAGCCGCAGGGCGGAGAAGAGCAGCGCTCGGCCCCCGGCGTGTCGTGCCCCAGCACAGCTGCGGGAGGCAGTGCCGTAGGAAGCTCTTTTACCACCGGAAGGAGAAGGAGAGCTCGGGCGTCGTCGTCACCCGTTGCTCGTTGCCCCTTCTTGGTGCCAGTCCCATGTCCCCCGTCGGCCCTGCCCCTGCCCCACCATGAGCAAAAGCTTGCTCATCTGTGGATTCACAGAAAAAGACATCCTCCAGCAAAGAGGTCTTGCGTTCCTGTTCACTGAGTTTAAATGCAGACTTTTCAAACAGAAGGGAAGCTAGATGACTTGTTTCTCACCACTGGAAAACCATTCTGTTTTCTCTCCAGTGGCTTCTGTATTCAGGACAGTACTTGCCTGATCCACACCGAGGATGCACAGCTGCTTGTTGGAGAAATACTTAAAGAATACTGAGTGACTTTTCATCAGAAATAAGCGTAAGAGAAAACAAAATGTCTGTAACTTCAGCCGTAGGGTAATGGTGCAAAAATTTTAGCCCTTAGACATTGTTTTAGGTATTTTCTGTTCCTGTAAGAGATGCAACTTCTGTGTGTTGTCTTGTTTGACAGTTATGGGAATTTATTAATCATAAGCCCAATAACCCATTTCATTTTCCCATCTTTGGTTACCAACTCCACAGCCAGACAAGAGATAGCAGTAAGTTTCTATGGCCAGATTTACTGGTGATCAAGCTCTGCTGTTACTGTAGCTTGCCTCATTGTAATGCTCATGAGGGAGCATGTGTTCCTACATGCTTTCTGAAATATTAATACACAAAATTGTACTGAGGTTTCTGATAGCAGCAGATTGGCTCTCTGTGGTTTTCTGATTAGAGGTGTATTGGTGATTCCGAGAAGCCAGTGGCGCCGAAATGGGTTAAACCTAATAAGGTTTTGAAAGCTGATAGCATAATTTAAGAGGGCTCAGAGTCACAAAGCAACAGACCTGTCTGACCCCGGCAAATTACAGTGTTTGTTAATGTTCTGTTATAGACATCTTCTAGTCAACCCAAAGCAGATATATTAAGTGAAAAATTGACTTGTGGTTCACAAAGATAGGCTAGCCTTTCTGCCTTGTTTTTGGCAGTTGATTGACTTAGAAATAAAGGAGGGGCATCATGGCTTCTGTTTTTACCAGGGCTCTTAGGAATGAAGCCTTCAAAAACATTAACTTCAGCTTCCAACTAAAGAAACATAATTGTCTTAAAATCTTTTTTATCGTAATTTTACACAATATATATCCCTTGGGAAATCTAAAAACAATTTAAGGAATGGAAGGCATGGGAAAAATCCTTTTACTTTAAGCACGATGATTATAATCATATAAGCTTTAGAATCAGTGCAACTGGAATACAGAGTGATTAAAAAAAAGCACTAAAATTTTTATTGTGCTTTCAGAGTCAGTGTTAATTAAATGAAGTGGTGGCCAATTCACGGTGTTTTAACCCGAATCTTCTTTACTAATGTTTAATGACAGTAAGTTGGCTTAGGAGCATTTCTTGCAGTCATTCACAGGGGATTTTACTGAAATTCTGTTTCTGACCAGGACAGGCTGACAGCTTTAGGAATCTAGTAACTGAACAGGGAAAAGGGATTTTCATCGTTACTAAGTCTAAATTAATGCAAACAATGAACAGAGGTAACAGTCTCATGACTCCTAATCTTGTTATGCTCTGAAGAAGGCATCTGAATTCTCTTGCCTCTCCGATTCAGTAATGAAAACACTTTCCAAGGCGTAGGCCAGTATGAATGGGAACAGCAGTCAGCAGATGAAAAGAAACAGAGAAAATAGGAATAAAAAGGCAAGATGTCAATGGTGCAGACCTCGAGTTATGTGTTAGCTGGCATTCTGGAGAAATAAACTGTAAGACCTCTTCTAATCAAAGACTATAGCATCAGCTGCACTGTTTATTCACTAAGACTGTTTGCTGAAGTTCAATTTATAACTTTTGTTAAAAAATAATATTCTGAGACCATCAAGGCCAAACACTCCATTTTGGTAGCTTTTCAGGCCTGAGAACCTTGCAGTCCTACTGTCTGAAGAAGCTAATCTCTCACAGCAGAGGCAATACTGTCAGGGACAAAAGCGGGCACTGGCCAAAGTCACTTGCGTTCTCCAAGCATGCTGACTTTGCTCTCCCTCCCTGCTGCTGCATGGACTGACTGGATGGTCCCACTGTTAGAGAGAAGCCACAGTTCACAGGGAAACGGGGGAGCATTTAACACTGTCTTGGGAAATGTAGGGGGAGCCAGGGGCCACCAAGCTGGACCACTACTGCGTTTAAAATGTGCACTGTTGCTGTGTGACATGATAATCTGTCAATATGTCTTCCCTCGATATGCTGCTCCTGAGGCAATTGATTCAGATGTAAATTTCTCTTCATTAAATAACCTTCTGCTTCTTTTGGGAAATAAGAATTTAAGTACAGTAAGCAATGTGAATAGCCTATGATGATAGTAGACAGAATTTGAGTGTAAAGTGGGATTAAAATCTGGGAGTTTCCAACTGTTGATGCTGTTTGTGCAGATAGCCCAGCTGCTTTAAGACAATCAAAAAATACTCTGTTGGGTCTGCATTCCACAAAAATAGCATACTTGATGGGATTTTTACACCCATTTGCTTTAAAGTTTAAGCATTCACCTGTGTTCGCTGCATTCATCATCCGTGGCAGCCACTACAGTGAGTGCCACTACTGTCAGGGTTGCCTGAAGGCCCAATTCCTTCAGTGACCTAACTGTTTTTCCTCTGACAGTGCTTCTGAGGACATCATAAAGGTGCCACAGTTAGCCTCAGTAGGGAAGCTTTCCACTCAGCTCTCAAAGTGGCCTGTCATTCCAAGGTAGATTTTAGGGGAGGGGACGTTGGCACATTCGAGGCAAGTATAAACGCTCACAGACTTCAAAGAGAGACCTGGGAAGTCAGCTTTCCTTAATTTCGTTACTACTTTGTAAAAAACAAAAAAACAAAGAAAATATTCCAAATAATCCTTAATTTATCTTGTCAATATGTGGGAAGGGGTCTGCCTCTGTGTTATCTGTGTTTAAAAAGCCCTCTAATTCCAAAAGCTAAGAGAGAAGTGTTGAGAACGCATTTTTTGCAGAAAAAAATAAAGGCACTTAAAACCCCCCATGTTACAAGTGAAAACTGAGCACTGCCAATTTGGCATTGCTTATAGATTTGCAGGAAAAATAACCAATTAAACAGAAAAAAAACTTGGAATTAAGCTATTGTTATTAAATCATTATAATTTTCATATAATGATAAGTTTCAGTAGCCAGTCCACTTCTGAGAACAGAAAACCAGTGGGATAATGCCACAATAAAAGATAAGATACATGTGTTGACATACTATTCAGTGACTGGCTTCTCACTCCTCCAGGCTGCAAATTGTTGACTGAGTAGTGAGAGTAAGAAACTAATTGCCTTTGTCTTCTTGAAGCCTTACCACTGCAAAGTATCCTTCCTTCCATTATTTTAAATTTTTTTTTTCTCTCTTCTCATATTACTGATGGTATGGATAAATTAAGACTGTTTATCCATACTAATAGTATGGATAAATTAAGATAAATTAAGACTGGTGATGGCAGCTCAGGATTTAGGACCATTTTGAAACAATGCAATTCATTTCAGTGACTACCAAATGAAATATAAAAGGTTAAAACTGTAAAAGCTTTTTTTTTTTTTGTGAAATAAATTTAGAGGTTTATATATAAACTTGTTGGTTTCATCTATTCCTGCATAAAATAGGCACTGCCAGTGTACAACTATAGGTTTTTACTCCCAGTTCACAACCACACGGGGGACTGTACAGGTCTAGTACTGTGAGTTAAAAAAATGGCAGCTCCAGTGACAGAAACAACAACAAAAAAGGCTAGGCTGTTTCCCAAGAGCTGTAAAGGAGTGTGATAAGACAAGTTCTGTGCTCAGTATAACATTACGTTGGGATTTTTTTTCTTTTTTTCCTTTTTATCTTCATAAAAAATCACAGCCTAACAGGGAAATCCTGAATCAATGATACCTAGAAAGATCGTGTTAGTGAATTAACACTTGAAGGAGAGAATAATCTGGTGGTATAATTCTGAATTCCAGAATGCCTGGATGACACCTGTGTAAGCTGCACAAATTAGACGGTGCCACTTTGAGATGTAGCTCCTGCTCATGATGAAGTTTTCATGAGAGACCTAAATTCAGCGGCTTCATGTATTTTTACATGAAGTAGACTTTATGTGAATAAATAAGATATAATTCAAGGAAGGACTAGGTATCAAGACAACTCTTAGTGGTTACACAGCCATGCTAGTGCTGGTAATCTTTGCTTGCCAAGTTTTGAATTAAGTAAAATGGACTGACTTCAGCAAAAATAAAGGCGGGATGCTTCCCTCTGTGTTATAGCTCAGCATAATTGAGACTCCGGATAAATGGGATAAACAGGATTAAGAAGTCTCAGACAGAGGAATGATGTCAATCCAGCTCTTGTATTTGGAGGTGGTTTCAGCATTAAGATACTATATAATAAGCACCTCCACTCTGTGACAAGTTAACAGAAGGACAACATGTAGTCTGAGAACCTGTGGTAAACAGAGATCAACTGTTTTGAGTTGATCACATCAACTAATTTATTTCTGCTAAAAAATATAATATTACAAGGTCTGATAGCAATACTGAACATTTTCCAGGAAGCAGAATCTTGCAGCTACCTACACACATCCCCACAATGGCTGAATATGTCTCTTCTAAAATAAGAGTTTAAAGCACTTTCTTATAACTTTTGAAGGTGCCTATCTGCTGTGGAAAGAGGGGGAAAATTAGATTAGGAACCGAAGATTTCCTTAGGCATCTTTCTAAGAGAATAGACACATCTTGTTTAAGCTGAACAGATAATGTTTATTTTCATGGGGGAAGGAAGAGAAAGAAAATGGATTTGTTGAATGAAGCTTACCATTTTCTTCACAAAGACAGGAATGAATATATTGACATTTCTTCGGCTTTCAAGAAGTGCAGAGTTTTCAGAAAGCACAGAAATTATTAGA